ATTTCCTAAAGTATTTTCGTGCCAAATTTCGTGAAATTCTAATGGGTGGTTCTCGAGAAATAGGCGTATTTCCGAGAGTGCAAATTTTCATTCAATCGAAATTTTTTGACTTACTACGCATGCGCTGCATTTAACTGGGTTCTTTCGGTATCAGAGAAAAAGCTGAGAATTGCTGAGTTCTTTGCATCTTTACCTTTTCTAACATACATTTGTGATAAAAGGCTAAAGCCATCAATACACTGCGTTCAATTATAGAGAAAAATAGCACAGATACTGCGGGTGTTGAGTAAATAAAATGATCGCTCTATTGATGGCATGTTTGTTTTTTGAAATCCTTGTGCGCGCGCTACATTGCATCAGCAAAAGCGCGTGCGAAAACTGTGTTCGGCCACCTTAATATCTAGGAAAAAACACAAGCTTAATATGTAGATTATTACTATAGCAGTTGACAAGTTGTGGGTGCAGGTGGTTTACAATTTTCTGTGTGCTAACTGTAATCCTAGCTACATTGGCAAAACCAATTGCCATTTTTCACGCGCGTAGGGTAAATTTGTTTTCCGACAAAAGCTCTCACGCTTTCAAGCATCTACAGGCTTGAGAGGAATGTTGTAACTCCTTTCTGCGGAATGTTTCACCATTTTGGACTCTGCTGCCACAAAGTTTCAAGTAAAAATTAAAGAAGCTATGTACATCAATTGGGAAAAGCCTGCTTTAAATCAGCAAATTCATCATGTTATTTTGTCTCTTTCATTTTTTATTTTTCTGCACGCTTTCCATTTCCATTTCCTCTTGTTTTCCATTACATGTATTTTATTTGTGGTATGTAAGTTATTCTAGGTAACACCTATTGAACAAAACTTGTATATCCAAATTTCACTCCAGTTGTGAGTGAAGATGACAGATGTTACTGTCGAAACATATATTTAAAACTGAAAAGCGTTGTCCTTTTTAAAAATTTATTGGTGGCCAACTGCTAACATTTCAGCGCACGCGAGAGCATTAGGTTCTTTCGGCTCTTCGGATGATCTTGCAAGCTATAACAAGCTATCACTATTTTGTTTTTGATAATATATCAAAATAACAATGCTGGCTATTCCATCGCAACATTAAATCGCTTTAGTTGTTGTATTCTTAGTGCAAATTGTACTTGCCTTATTAGACAGAACATATGGTTCGTATGGGTGCAAAGGTGAAAAGCCATACTTTATTGATTTAATGGCAAACTAAATTGACATCGATTGTTATTGATTGTCACAGATTATGAATAATTCTTTTAACTACTGGATAGATTGGCAATGAAAGTACGATGATTTTATTTTATTTTTGCACTTTCTATCGCCTTTCAAAAGGAATGTTATTTCTTGAGCTGAGCTTGGATTCGTTTTCTCTTGTTGCTTGACCGTAATAACACACTTACGAGTAGCCTCCTAGTCCTACGCAGACACTCTATGGGCTCATCACGCGATCTTTCTCAGTCTCCCACGAACGTCTCCTGAAACACAGGGCTACTCACGCAGTCCAATCATAGCGCATTTCCTGATCAAGGCAGCGAACTTTAAACCCTGAGAAATTTGCAAGGGACTACAAAGGATCCGAGCATGGCCTTATAACGAGTGTGTGGATAATAAAACCGTCGATTTAAATCCTTATCAGCAAGAAACTGTAGAGTATTTTATGAAGAAAGAAATGGACGTGTTTGTACGCACACATTCGTTTCGCTAAGCCTGCGGGAAGTCTGCTTGGAACTTGAGAAATGATCGCAAGACACCAAAATACCAGCGTGGCCTTTCAAAGAGTGTGAGACATTTACAATTTCAGTCAGTGTAAAACACTGACTGTGGACTGCAAATTGCAGACCGGGGGTAAAATACAGACTGTAGACTACAGACTTTTTAAGTATTATCGTGTTATTTCCATTATAGAGTGCTGACCGTAAACAGGGTTTATTTTAGGCTAAGTGCAGTGAAAGTCTCCACTGCGGATAGCCTGAATATCACTCAGGTTAGCCTGTTTATGGTTGGCTCTCAAAGATGAAAATGGCAACACGATTCAATTAAAAAGTCTACAGTCTGCAGTCTGCAGTCTGCATTTTACCCCTGGTTTTGTAGTCTGCATTTTATCCCCCGGTCTGCAGTCTGCAGTCCACAGTCTGCTCTTTACACTGACCGTTTGCAATATTACGTTTTAAATCCTCCTTGAAATTACTTTAGAGCCGATGATTGGTTTTAAAGCAATTTCCGCGTGATCTCCAGCTGATCTTTACGAACAAAGGGAAAGGAATGTGCTATTTGTTTCAGCAGACGTTGGTGCGGAAGGAAGATTGTGCGATGAGCTCAAAATAGCGTCTGCATAGGAGGCTAACTCAGGAGGGAATCTGCACAGACAGTTTTAGAGGTGAAAACTTCAATATCGTTACCTGTCCAACTGTTCCATTCACATATACATCAATTGCATTGGACATTTCTGCTCTTTTTATGCCCTGGAAATACAAAATAAACAATCTTTGGTTAATGAAATATAAATTTTGTAGTATTTACAGTAGTGTATACATAACTGCACACAAATTTTGAAAAAATGCAGAGCTTCTTGGAGCATATGGATGAAAATGAATGACATTTTGCTTCGAACAAATTTTGGGTTAAATAATTATTTTGCTGCAATTTTGCCAGTCTCTTGTTGTCATGGCTGGATAATGTTGCATGTTTTGAATGACAGTTCCTGGGAATTTTACGTTGCAGAATATGAAAATTTGTTTTCATAATGTAGCTTGTTCACAGATCAAAGAGATCTAAAAGTGATGTTCAGTTAGTGTATGCATTTAGTCTTATGTTCTGGGGTCAATTTCACATGTGGGTTTCGAAATTTGTTTTCTTCTTTCTTTGTTACCTTTCGAGCTCTAGATCTTAGAAATACAATGCTGTGCTCAACGTGGAAAACACTGATGAAGTCAATATACCACAAAAAAGCACCACATCCCATTTAGATCTCTTAAGTTAAGCCCTGTCATGTGGGGTTAGATGGGTGGCCCAACAAAATTACCATGTGTCGTTATGATTTGATTTTTTCTTCCCTTTCCAGGACAATATGAGTGACTACGGAACTCCTGGCTATGTGTGATGTCTTTTCTTCTTTTCATCGGCGAAACTCTTCATATCATTTCGCCAAGTCTACATTTATCCACCGTACCTTAGTTATAGCGAAATGCAGCGTTTGAATTCTCCTCGATTATCATGTCCGTTTAATATCTAAAATTCTAATAATGGTTTTAAAAATAATGCTCTTGAGCCACATAAATAAAAACGATATAATGTCCCAACGTTTCAGCGACCTCATGACGCCATTATCACGGAATAAAGAAATGAGAGCAAGTTCAAAAGAGGTAAGACCTGTAGTTATACATAAATGAAGTTAAGGTGGCCAAATTCAGTTTCCGCGTGCGCTCTTGCTAATGCGATTCAGCGCGCGCACAAGGATTACACAAAGCAAACATGGCGTCAATACAGCGATCATTTTATTTGGTCAATGCCTTCGCTATCTGTGCTTTTTTCCTTCATAATTGAACACAGTGTGTTTATGGCTTTAATCTTTTATTAAAAATGTATCTTAGAAAAGGTAATGATGCAAAGAACCCAGCAATTCTCAGATTCTTCTTTTTTACTGAAAGAACCCAGTTAAATGAAGCGCATGCATAGCAAGGCAAAAAATTGCGATTGAATACGGAATAGCTTTCTTGGAATTATGCCTATTTCTCGGGAATCACTCGTTAGAATTTCACGAAATTTGGCACGAAAATACTTTAGGAAACAAGTAATTGGAATATTGAAAAAAACATTTAAGAGGCTGTCCGCGTAAGAACGGATAAGGCAAATTTCGGACCTTCACTGATTGGCTTAACTTTTTCAGTGAAAGTCAACCATTATATCCAATGTACAAATATCGCATTTATTTGAATCAATTCGACTTTTTTCATTTTTTACGAGGCGGTTTCCAAAGTGACCTCGAAACTGGCTAATTTGCCTTGGCAGACCCTAAAATTTTGCTATAAACGTCGGACGCTGCCAAAACAAAGTTTTTTATTCTACCACGCTGAATATTTTACATACAAAAGTTTCATCTTTCCTCGATATTTTAACGGTTTAACAATTTTGTTCTGTCAAAGTTGGCCGGAGTTATCAATTTTCTAAAATACCCCGTACTAAACTCTGGAATGTGTGAAGCGTGACATACGTAAAGTTAAAAGCTATTTTCTTAAATGTGGGACCTGATCTAGAAACAAATCAATAATAACTCAAAAGTACTAACATCAATGTAAAAATTTATAGAATAAAATTTGTGGGCACTCTGCACTGCGCACCGTACAGAGCTCCACGATTTTGCCAAATATTCGCCATTTTGATGGTAAACAAAGATAACGGCGGTCCCGCCCGTAACCAAAAAACATGAACCGCGAATGCTTGGAAATGAAATAATCATCACTACAGGTCAAATTGTGGATTTTAAATTAGATTATCCGCGGTTTAGCCGTTGTTTCGGAAACAATCTACCCTCATTTGGTTCTGTAAACAGTAGAAACGATGAATATTTTTTTTCCCATCCATATGCAAATTACATGTACTGTAGCCGGGTGAGTTTTTGTTACGATGAGACGACCAAATGCTTAAACTGATTTCTTTTACATNATTTTTTCAGCGAAAGTCAATCATTATATCCAATGTACAAATATCGCATTTATTTGAATCAATTCGATTTTTTTCATTTTTTACGAGACGGTTTTCAAAGTGACTTCGAAACTGGCTAATTTGCCTTGGCAGACTCTGAAATTTTGCTCTAAACGTCGGACGCTCCCAAAACAAAGTTTTTCAATCTAACAAGCTAAATATTTTACATACAAAAGTTTCATCTTTCCTTGATATTTTAACGGTTTAACAATTTTATTCTGTCAAAGTTTGCCAGAGTTACGAATTTTTTAAAATGCCTCCTACCAAACTCCGGAATGCGTGGAGCGTGACATACCTAAAGTTAAAAGCTATTTTCTCAAATGTGGGACCTTATCTAGAAACGAATCTATGATAACTCAAAAGTACTAACATCAATGTAAAACTTATGGAATAAAATTTGTGGGCACTCTGCATTGCGCGCTTTACGGAGCTCCACGATTTTGCCAAATATTCGCCATTTTCATGGTAAACAAAGATAACGGCGGTCCCGCCTGTAACCAAAAAACATGAACCGTAAACGCTTGGAAATGAAATAATCATCACTACTGGTCAAATTATAGATTTAAAATCAGATTATCCGCGGTTTAGCCGTTGTTTCGGGAAAAATCTACCTTCATTTGGTATTTGAAACAGTAAAAACGATGAATATTTTTTTCCCATCCATATGCAAATTACATGTACTGTAGCCGGGTGAGTTTTTGTTACGATGAGACGACCAAATGCTTAAACTGATTTCTTTTACATATTTTTAAAGGCAAAAACTTGTTTCTTACCCGAGGGAAAAAACTGTCTCAGTCTCCTTGGAAAAGCTTTCTTTACCGTTGGTGAGCTCTTTTCATTTCTCACGATGCGGTAGCGCAAAGTTTGCTTTCAAGGCTTCACTTGTTCGTTTCACTTTAATTGAATTAAACCGACGAGCCAGCTTGGCTCTTTGGCTAAATCTACCTCTTCTCGAGAAATTTCGTAGTACACAACAATTTCTGCTGCTGAAGTTAATTTAGTTCCAAAGGTTTTGCATGAGTTTATTTTCGCTGCTGGTACAATCAGAAAAAAATTTGTTTCAAAATTCAGAATGTCAGTGTTGAAAAAAATGTTACTGCGTATAAAAGATTCGCACTTTAATTTTACGCTAATTCAATTACATATAAAATCTTCTCCGCAATTCATTCGTCTTAATTGCATAAAACGTCGGCTAAACAAAGTAATTGTTCACTTCACGAAATACTTCAGACTCCTTGTGGATCCTCGAGGGACAAGGAAAACCATGTTGTTCTGNCATATGCAAATTACATGTACTGTAGCCGGGTGAGTTTTTGTTACGATGAGACGACCAAATGCTTAAACTGATTTCTTTTACATATTTTTAAAGGCAAAAACTTGTTTCTTACTCGAGGAAAAAAACTGTCTCGGCCTCCTTGCAAGCTATTCTTACCGGTTAGTGAGCCCTTTTCATTTCTCACGATGCGGTAGCGCAATGTTTGCTTTCAAGGCTTCAATTGTTTGTTTCACTTTAATTGAATTAAGCCGCCAAGCCAGGTTGGCTCTTTTGTCCAAAACTACCTCATCTCGAGAAATTTCGTAGTACACAAAAATTTCTGCTGCTGAAGTTAATTTAGTTCCAAAGGTTTTGCATGAGTTTATTTTAGTTGGAGTACAATCGGAAACAATTCTCTTTCAAAATTCAACATGTCAATGTGGAAAAATGTTACTGCGCAAAAGAAATTCTCAAAAATATTGTGAAAATCTGAACAAGTTTCATGTCTGAGCAAATAATTGTTTCCTACCCGAGGAAAAAAATGTCTCAGCCTCTTTGCAAAAGCTACTCTTATGGTCCCGCGAAATCCGGCCTTAACTGATCTTGGAAAGGGTGCCTTAAACGTCTCTGAACCATCTCGACGGCGTAAAACAACAAACAATCCCAAGAGCTATATAATGTTGAGAAATTGTATTATTTGTTTAGAATACTTAGATTTACTGAATAATTCTTTTGATTATTTAACTAAAGGTAGTTCATTCATCATTAGACCTGATTTTCAATTGACTCAGTTCAATTGGAGGGGGGGGGGGGAATTTGCAGGTGAGCATGTAGGTTAGTTTTTATTTTCTCATGGTATGCACCAATACAAGCTTTGATTTGATGTTACAAATATAATGGAATATAACGAGGAGCTTGCACTCTGACTAGCATTCATTCCACTTCATTGAATATTAACTTCGGCAATCACATTCTTGTAAAAAGCTCATTAGTTGCTCAATCAAGTCTCTCTTCTTGTCTCTTGATTTAAATGGAATTTCAAAATGGCGCAAGATTTGTTTAAGCATTGATACATTAAATTGGCTCAATTTATTTTCTTTCGCGCACTTGCACAGGTTGAAGGCATCGTAAGACAGAGGGTGTTGTGGCCTCAGTTCCTGAGTAACCTCTTCTATGAGGTACTGTCTGTCAGCTTCTCCTTCCTCCCTCAACAAGTCTCTAGAATTAAGATCCACTTCTGTGGGATCTTGCTGCCTTCTTCTGGTCGCTGCAAGGCGGGAAAAGAAACCCTGCACTTGGCTTTTGGTCAGCCATTCTTTTCTATCAAAGAGCCGATTGTTTTGCTCGTCTGCTGCTTTCCGCATATCATTGGACACATGCTGAGGGTCAGCTTTACGCCTAGTCTGCTCTCCAAGGTCAAATCTGGCAGTAAGGTAGTTTTTAACCTTTTCGGTGAACCTCGAAGATCCTGCACGTGGCTTGGGTAAGGCCCAGCCCATACTGACAGCTTGGTCTGATGGCGGCGACGTGCTCACACTCTGCTGGTAACCAGGTGTACATGACACATCTTTAGTTATGTTGACTGACGTAGTGAACATGTCTGCCCAATCTCTACGAAGGTTGTCATAGAGAGTTTCAGACTGCCTCTCCTCTTTCACACAATGGTCTCCTATGTCCAAATGTGACTCGAGCTCTGAAAAGGTCTTGAAACTCTTAATACATCCGGGCTCCGAGCACTCGAACATATCTATTTCCGAATCGGACGAAACTGAGCTCTCGGTAGTGGTGTCTTTGCATTTATATACGCGTGNACTGACAGCTTGGTCTGACGGCGGCGACGTGCTCACACTCTGCTGGTAACCAGGTGTACATGACACATCTTTAGTTATGTTGACTGACGTAGTGAACATGTCTGCCCAATCTCTACGAAGCTTGTCATAGAGAGTTTCAGACTGCCTCTCCTCTTTCACACAATGGTCTCCGATGTCCAAATGTGACTCGAGGTCTGAAAAGGTTTTGAAACTCTTAATACATCCGGGCTCCGAACACTCAAACATAACTTTTTCCGAATCGGACGAAACTGAGCTCTCGGCAGTGGTGTCTTTGCATTTATAAACGCGTGTATCTCTACAATCGAAAAACTCTTCACTTACAACGAGGCCAGTGTTCCCTTGGCTCAGTGATACAAGCTCGTCAAAAAGAACCTCCTTACCGAGGCCCTCTCCATACGACCTCCAGACACGAATATCCTTTTCCTCAAACTGGATGTTGGGTAGCTTGCTGAATCCTTCTACCTTGTTCACGTCTAAGGTCTTCTTGCTCTCGTCAACAACGCAGACACATACGGATGTACGTTTTACTGCTCTCTCTGAAAGCGCCCTTCTCATGTCTGCCGCTGTCAGGATATCATGGCCCTTCGTTGCAGTACCGTCGGATACATGTCTTCATCAGACATAAGGTTCGATCACATACGTCCTTGCCATACTGTGGCTCTGAGTAGTCGTAACGACACACGGTTATACCCACTAGCTGACCGATATCTTTTGCTGCAGCAGTCAGAGAGTTGTTATGATAACTGT